GGGAAATGCTTCCGGGCCCCCAGCTGAGACTCGGATGACCCGCGGCCTGGGCCCTCGGGGGCCGTCCTCGGCTGACAGCTGTGGGCGACAGAGACGCCCCGCGCCCTGCCCGCCTCCACCTCCTCGCGCGTTCGCCTGGCACCGGGGCCACTGCCCGCGCGGGCTCGGGGACGGACAGGTGGGTGGTCCCGGCCACCAGCGCCGCTTCCCCTTGGGGACCGCGACGTTCGTGCAGCGCTGCTTCCTCCCGACGGTTTCGCTTTCAGTTCCCTATTTTTGGCGAACATTTTCCTTGGTTCCGGGCTTTCCAAGGCTCATCCGCTGAAGATTTTACTTGGCTAGGAAAGGTTTGGGGACCTTCTGGGTAGAGAATTTAACCAAAAAGTTACCCCTTTTCCGTCGGGATTTTATCGTTTTGCACTATGTAGCTGTTTCTTTCTGGAGGCATCTGTCTGCTCAGCGCTTTGTTTTTCCTCCCCTCTGGCTGGGTGTCAGGGTCCTCAGGCGGGCACCTTGCTGGTGGATTCCAGCCCCATTGTCTCTTCTTCAGAACCCTGGGCCTGGAGTTTTTCTCCCTTCTTGCTGAGGTTCAGTTGGTTTGGAGTTGTCATGGCAACACTTTAGCAACTGTTGTTCTGGGCTTGGTGAATAAGACATTGGTGTTGAAGAGGATACGTTTACGCTTAAAGAGGGTACACTTGCACTTTTGGGTCTAACAAACGACATCAATCTGGATGCCACAAAACAGGAGCCCTGTCACTGTAATGGGTCCCAAAGGCCAAGTCTGGTATTTATGGTTCGGGAGGGTTTTCCAATGGCAGTGGGCTTCAGGTTTCCACTTCCTGGATTTGAGAACAGAAATTTGTTGGTGTTCAGTGTGTGGCAGAGCAGCTGGAAGAGGCATCAGCATCTGTGGCCCTGTGGTTTTCGAAGGAGTTGTTCTAAATGCTGCCTCTTCTGATCCCTGTGTCCTGGCAGATTATGATAGCTGTGCTCATAATCCATCAGTCTTCCAGTACAATTATCCCCTCCCCACTGAGAGTGAAGTGATAATGGAGGGGGAGCGAAGCTGTTTGTGGAGTTGCCTTTTCAGTCACTGCAGCCCATTCTTCAGCATCAGAATGGAGGAAACTGGTTGTCCCCTGCAGATAATTGGGTTATGTTCCTGGCTGTACTTCATGGAGCCTAAGTTCTAACACAGGGGGCTGTTCAGTTTCCTAGAGTCACTGCAAACACCTGATTTCTACCAGGACTTAGCACTCAGGCCAGTGAGGCGGGGGGTACGAAGACTTCCAAAGAAGGACCAGTTCCTCGGATGTGCGGCCTCACAGAGAGATGAAGGGGTGAGTGAAGAGAGGTAGGGTCTGGGAGGGGAGATGGGAGGCCTGGGAGAATGTGCTGGCTCTGGAGTCGGCAGACCTTGAGTCAGGTCCCAGCTCCCGAATCACTTGCTGGCTGTGTGATGTGGTTTTCCGTCAGTAAAACGCAAGCAGTGCTCCCTGCCTCATAGTGCTCTTCTTAGTATTAAATGAGGTACTACCTGCTCAGTGTTAGCTCTGTGTCTGTGTACATAGGAAACACTCAGTAAATTCCACCCTAACCTCGGGTCTGTTGGTAATGCCAGTGAGTTTGGGCCCATGTATTACTGGGCCAGTGAGCTTTGCATGCATGCATTCCCTTATTCTCCCCTTTTCCCCTCACAAACAGGCAGCAGAAAACAGCGGAGACAGAAGAGGGGACAGTGCAGATCCAGGAGGGTGAGTGGTAGAAAGGGACGTGCCCTGGGACCAAGAGCCCAGCCTGGCCTTTTCTTCCCGGTAGGCCATCGGTGCACCTTCTCCCCTGAGTGACAGGCAAGAGAAATGGAGGGAGAGAGGCATCAGCACTCTTCCTTGCTCCTTGAATTCAGGTGCAGTGGCAACTGGGGAGGACCCAACCAGTGTGGCTATCGCCAGCATCCAGTCATCTGCCACCTTTCCTGACCCCAACGTCAAGTACGTCTTCCGAACTGAGAATGGGGGCCAGGTAAGGGAGGGAGCTAGGTGGCTGCAGTTGTTACCAAGGGTTGGGATGGAGGGAGGTAACTGAACCTGTCCTGTGGAGACCTGGCTTGGAGGATGGGGTGTGGGGTGGAGTACGAGGTTTGGAGT